TATTTCACCAGAGCCAGATTAACCTACGACGCAAAATATCTCTTTTCAATCCATGTGTACCGAGTTTATATATTGCCACACATTACCCCAGACACATGTTATTCGCTGGGATCCTCAGTCCTGATCTGAGTCCTGGACTTCGAGTCGTGGCTGAACCTGTCTCTGTGGTCCTGCCTGACTCTCATCATACTACTTCCCTGATGGCTCCCACAGGATTGTTGACATCCTCGTGGATTCATCTTATTATTATTGACACATGCATTTCCAAACATTTGGTCTACCTATGTTGTAAATGTATTATCTTTTCGATTTACACACAGCATCTATTCCACGTCTGTCCGTCCTGGGAGAGGGATCCCTCCTCTGTTGCTCTCCCTAAGGTTTCTCCCATGTTCCCCTTTAAACTGTGGGTTTTCTCCCTGGGAGTGTTTCCTTGTACGATGTGAGGGTCTAAGGACAGAGGGTCTAAGGACAGATGGTGTCGTATTTTCATACTGATATTCTGTACAAACTGAAGTCCACTGAGACTAATGTAACATTTGTGATATTGGGCTATATAAATAAACTTTGATTGATGGAATAAAAACTAGATTCTGAGTCCCTGCTACAGGATAAGGTTTCAAAATTACTGCAAATGAACATATTTGGTTTCTTTTTGGGAGCCCTAGAAGGTTTGTGTCACAGGTAATTTTGCCATTTCCCCAATGAATTACCCAGTCTTACTTTTGGCTTTAAAACAACATAAAAAAATCCCAATAAAAGTCTTGATAACCTTTATAAAGTGGGCCTCATTTGCAAAAGATGCTCCTATTGTAGTTCATCTCGACTCAATCCCAAATACACCACCAGAAACATTCCCAAAAGTACCAGAAGTGGATAAGTCCGCCACCGATAAATACACTACTTCCTCCTGTTTAGTACCGTTTGATACACATAAGAAAATAGGAGCCAGTTTGAAAAGATCCAGATATTCACAATCATCCTCGTTTGTGGCAAACCAAAAGTTCTTTGATTCCTGCAGGAAGAGGATGCTCCTCTTTACAGCAACAATTTGTGGTATACAATGTCTTGGATCAGATATAATATAAAGTAGTTTATCTTTGTCGAACGTGACACACTTGATTGTCAGTTTGTTTTATGACCAGGAAGTGAGAACTGGCTGTGCAGGTTCTATCGTAAGATCTCGAAAAAGTCTTTCCCCTACCACGCCTCAAGTTCAGACAAACATGGGGGAAACTTCCAGCATTCCTCAAGCAGAAATTCACGCTCGACAGGTACAGAAAGTTTATCAAGACTCCTTCCACAACCCAAGTTTCCTCAAGGCTTCTCTGCGCGATTCGTCCGTCGCTCCTCGTCCAGAAAACTGCACGGTGATGCCTTGGGGACGAAAGGTGGATCTTCGCCTGTGATCAGGAGATAATGCTCGAGGTGCTGGTAACGATGTAGAAACGCCGCCATGATAGGAGTGACGAGGAGGTCTTGGTGCCGGAGCGGGAGCGGGAGCTGGAGCTTTGAAACTCTTGGAAGGACTGTCCGTCGGGCGATTCAACCCGTAGGAAGGGTTGAAAGCTCGGCTTTTTCCTCCATGGCTGTTCAGCGCAGTGGGTAGCGGTTCTTGTTTGGCGGGTAAGCTTTGACTCTTGTCGATGTGGGAGCTGAGGATATCTGGAAGGTCGCTCTTGGCTACGTGAGAAGGGGTCATGACTTTGGTCTTTCCTCCGTAGGGGTTGAACTCGGTGGGGTTAGCCAGCGCAGGGGGCAGGACTTTGGGATCAGGGCTACTTGGTGAAGGTAACGACTCTCTTCTGAAGGAATGAGAAGGATTCACCGTGATGGATTTCCCCCCATAGTTGTTCGGTTCGAGCGAAGTGACTTCAGGCGGAGCGGGGAAAGATGGAGATGTCCTGGTTTCTAGTAGAGGAGGAGGAAGGTAGCTACTTTGTGTCATGGCTGGAGGTGAAGGGCTCGATTGGCGGCTTCTTTCGTCAAACCTCTTGAGGGATTCGGACCGCTCAATCTCTGGTTTCTTGACGATCTGGCTCTGACTCGGTGTCGTAACTCCTGGTAATTTGGTGGTGGTTGGTGTTGGGGGAGCGCTGACCTCCACTGACTTGGTTTCTGCACCTGCGAGAGGACCTAAAGAGGCGTCAGGGACCGGGATGAGCGACGTACCTCCAGACATCGCTCGATTCCTGTGTAGACCCAGTTTAGACAGGGCCTCCATCCTTGATTTGTCTGGTGAGGGGTCCTTGAAGGAAATACTGCGAGTGGGAGTCTGTCGAGACTCCACGGTCAGGGGAGAGTCGTCTTGCAGCAAAGGGCGAGCCGTACCTGTAAGGTTTGCTAACATCTGCGCCTTTCTCTCTTGGATGTGGACATTTGCCAGCGACTGGTTCTGAGTGTCCTTATGGCCGTGGATCACACTGATGTTGTCCGGAAAACGGTTCGGTTTAGCATAAGTTGGAGGGCCATGTTTAGGAAGATCGCTACTCGGACTCAATTGCTTGTCCGACTCGATGCTCGGGTGGCGGAGGAACGAGGAGGGATGCAAGTTAGAGGAAGTTCCTGCCTGGTTATCTGCTAACTGCTGGGCAATAAGAACTGGGGTGGGGATGCAGCCTGGAGGGTGGTAGGAGTAGTGGCCGTCTGTAGCTCCATAGCTGCCACTTGGTAAAGGAGGGTTGTACTCGGAGGGTAAGCCGTCCGTTGCATCTCGCTTCGGCTTTATCTCGAAGTGGCTTCCAGGGGTCTGCATCATGTTCATAAAGTCTGTGAGGAACAAATGGTGAAAAAAGTTAAAATCTTGGAACGACTACAAGCTTTAAGGACTGTACTGTACATATCTATGTGCACTTTGAAGTATCGCATTAGAAAGGCTGTATGGAAACTTGCCATATTCAATAGAAGTTTCTCAATTGAACAAAAGTGTTATTGCTCTGTTGAAGTGGTACGTTTATGGAAATGCTAAATGATATGGATAACCCATTGTGGAATAAGTTCAGATGATTCAAACATTAAACTCATGTGATTTCCGGAATACACATTTGTATCGTTTTGTCTCGAGACAGCATTAAACATGGCTAATTCTGGCTGATATGATAGAACAATTCAAACAAATTCCTCAAGACGTATCTCCAAATTTCCCTCATTGATCGTTTAAGGCCACTTGTTTTGTTTACAGTTTGAAACCTCTACTTTCCCTACTTTGTTTACTAGTGGATTATAATAATGTATACAAATCGTAGCCTATACCATCAAACGTTGGTTAACAACACAGCCTAGTTTATACTTGCCAAACCAGATTCAGCCATTTCAGATGCTTAAAAACTACTTTTCTTTGGTTGTTTTACCAACTCTGGGACAGTTACGATACAATTGAAGACATACCATGCTGTGAATTCACCAGTTACCTTTATTCTTGGTACATTCAAAGGACTACATGTCAAACGTTTGGATTCCTACATCTACGTATTTACAGAATTCTGGATAAGACCAAGAAACAAGAACAACTGTACCCTACCTGGACTTGTGGGATTGTAGATCGGCTCTTTGTTCTGCAGTAGGTCCGGTTCTGGGCGGACCAGGTAAATAATGTCCTGGTCTTTGGCGACAGGATGCCTCGGCATGCGCGAGGAACCACTAGCACTCGAGGTCTGGTGGATGCTGTTCGCTGGGGTCTTCATCCGGTCGTTCTCCTCCAGACTTTCATCCAACGAGTCGATGGTTTTCTCAAAGAACTGGATGCACTCCTGCTCCTCCTGGCTCAGAAAGTTCAGGGTATTGTCCTTATCGTCGTCCTGTTAAGGCAAAGGGATCAGAGGACGTTAATTGACATACAATACAATACAGCACTTTAAAACCTCCAGACCAAAGTGCTGCACAGTCAGATAAACAAACAAACAAACTCACAGCCCAGCTCACACACCATAAAACAAGCACAAGTAAAAACAACAAACAATTTAAAAGCAACAATCTACAAGGTGTCAAAACGCTAAGGAGAAGAGGTGGGTTTTCAGAAGCGATATTTCTAGTGTTCCTGCCAGTAGTATTTGGTTCTGAGGTTGTTTGTAGTTCCTTAAAAGATGCCCTCATGTTACATATTTGGCTAGTTAGGGCTATTTCAAAAGCAATAGTAATTTAAACTGCTTCCGGCTGAATCTATCCAGGCAATTTTGTACTTTTCAATATTGCTGGACCAAGTTTTTTCACTTTGACTCGTATTACTGCAATTGAATTGGGCGTAGGGTCGATACAAGTATTATTTAGCTGTGGATTTGTTTTCTAATACAGTGTCTTGACAACAAATGACCACTTTAACCGCCATGGTATGAAAGACTTGTATTGGCGCTTTGTTTTTTGATGTATTTGGGATACTGTTTTTTCTTTGTCGTTGTGGTACTGCTTTAACTTCAGTCCTTCTACTTATTTGCAGGCCCACTGCTCATTGTTACAGAGGATTAACTAGCGCCTACAGCCATGTGGTAGAGCTTAAATAGGTTGACTTGATCTTTATCCGGACTGAAAGAGACTTTAAAGGAGGGCAGTGAAACCAAAAGTCACCAGGTTGTCACTGGATAGCTCATTGTGTGAGTCCTCAGTGGGTTTACTGTAAGGAGCTGGACAGGTAGACGCTGAGATGGGGCGAAGAGAGGGACGTTTGAGCTAAATTTAGGGTCGGAAAGAAGTTAGGAGGGTTGGGATGTGGGAACAAGCAGACCTGTGTTCAGTCTGTACACATTGACTCCTGCACGAGGAAGTCAGAGTGGATGGTTTACAAAAAACGGGGTTCAACGATGAAAAGAGAAATGTAAATACGGTTTCTAAGGATATATGAACATTTCAATCAGAATACTTTATTTATCCCGTGGGAAATTGGGTTTCGTAATAGTTGCTCCACATTAGAATTAAATAAATTAAAAAAAGAAGAAGGAAAATAATAAGGAGTTTAAGAAAAATGTCCAATAAAAGACTAATATTTATAGAAACACAAGAAGTTAAAGTCCAATATAAGATCAAGTAAAAATAAATACAAATATAAAAAGGAAATAATACAATAAGTGTAGCTCTGGCCTGCTTGAGTAACCGTTCCCACACAAATGGACAACAAACAGTCTGATAATGAGGTGTTATGGATCTCGTGTTAAACTATAATTACACAGCGACCACAACATGAGGAAGCTGCTCGTTTGGGGCTATTTCAAGGTCATGTCCTTCAGCGTGCGGCGGACATGCAACCAGGGTTTGTTGCCGACATCAGAGTCTTGTTTTTACTTTACACCGACTGAGACAAAAGCACCTGCAGCAACACCCAACTGAAACCAACGTGAGATAAATACAGATCTGCAGGTTTCAGTCAATGCCGTCTATTGTGGAGACGCAGAGACCGGAGATGAAAAACTGCAGCTCGACCGGTTCCATTTGTGTTGTCAGTGATAATGAATGTCATCCCCAAGGCATGTCGAGGGATTAAGTTGTTGAGCAGGTGTAATTTCACAGCGACGGTGAAGACTGGGTGCTTTGTGTAAACACAGAGAGTTACAGCTTGGATAATCAGCTGTTCATCTGATACGCTGAGTGTTTGCTGTGTGTAAGGGGACAATAGAACAAGACAACTCTATCCTTCAGTTTACAGAGCGTCAAGGTGTTCACATACACACCTGTGTCCCCTGTGATAACCAATAAGTCAGCTGTATCTGTTGCAATTGGTAGATATCGACCAACTTATTGGAATAGTTTGGGGCAATATGTATAGGAGGCTATGATTTACTGTTATGTCCGTTGGGTTGTGAAATACCTGCCCGATCCGGTTCATGAAACTTGGCAAAATGGTGTCGAATTATCTAAAGAAAGGAAAATTTTGAAGGGGCATATTTGTACACTTATGGCCCTGGAGGTCTGAACTGCACATTACAATGTCTAGTTTTTATGTCCTCTTTGAACATCAAATAATAAGTATATTCAATTGTTGTGGGGTCTTTGATATAAAGGTTTTTAAAGAAAGCATAATTAATTGGATTTGTCTGGAGCCCTGGAATATGCACATGGCTATTAACACTTCATTGTTAAGATAATTATAACCATGTCATTTTATTTTATTTTTTAATAATATTTAGGATTTCATTTATTTTTGTGTTTGTTGTCCTTTTAAAAATTGTATGAATTTTATTATATTATTGTATTTAATTTAAATGTTATATTATTTAAATTGTATTTTATTCTTATTTTTATTTATTTTTAATTATTGTTTTTCTTCCGTGTGTCAGGTCTATTCTTGGTATGGTGAGCTGTTGTTCGGGTCAGGAATGTGTGTTATGCACCATTCTTTCTGAAGTAAACATTAAGGGTTTAACCTGTAAAAAAAAATCTCTAACGAATACAAAAAAACAATTTAATAATATTGCTGTTCCTTAAGGTCCCTTAAACGTTTGAATCAAAAATCTATTTATCCGGTAAGATGACGTAAAAGTACCAAAAAATCTCAAATCTTGTGAAGTATTTTCTATCTTTATAAATACGTACGCGTGTCCTGGAGTTTCGCCCGGCGTCTCCGTTGACTCTGTAGTGGATCTGAGGGCTGGCCTGCAGACGGAGGTCCATGATTCGGGGGTCAGAGGTTGCACATCTGGACTCGCTCTGAAGAGTCATCAAATCCTCTTTTCAACGAGAGTCTGGAGACACAGAGAGAGAAGAGACGTCAAACAACTGACCGCAGAAGAAGAAGAATTTAGATCCTTTACTGTTGTCTCTCTACTTTAAAAGAGTCCTCTCCTGCTGATGTTCATATCAGTATGTAGTGTCTCTACTTTAAAGAGTCCTCTCCTGCTGATGTTCAGGTGTATATCAGTATGTAGTGTCTCTACTTTAAAGAGTTCTCTCCTGCTGATGATCAGGTGTATATCAGTATGTAGTGTCTCTACTTTAAAGAGTCCTCTCCTGCTGATGTTCAGGTGTATATCAGTATGTAGTGTCTCTACTTTAAAGAGTTCTCTCCTGCTGATGTTCAGGTGTATATCAGTATGTAGTGTCTCTACTTTAAAGAGTTCTCTCCTGCTGATGTTCAGGTGTATATCAGTATGTAGTGTCTCTACTTTAAAGAGTCCTCTCCTGTTGATGTTCAGGTGTATATCAGTATGTAGTGTCTCTACTTTAAAGAGTTCTCTCCTGTTGATGTTCAGGTGTATATCAGTATGTAGTGTCTCTACTTTAAAGAGTTCTCTCCTGCTGATGTTCAGGTGTATATCAGTATGTAGTGTCTCTACTTTAAAGAGTCCTCTCCTGCTGATGTTCAGGTGTATATCAGTATGTAGTGTCTCTACTTTAAAGAGTCCTCTCCTGCTGATGTTCAGGTGTATATCAGTATGTAGTGTCTCTACTTTAAAGAGTTCTCTCCTGCTGATGTTCAGGTGTATATCAGTAT